AAAGCATAAGATGATCCATTGTGTTAACTAATTAATTATCAAAAAAAAAAGTCTTTAAAGGACTTGATAGTCACGACATACAATTGTGGACTGAAAATGAAGGTTTGCATTCCAGCCAGCTTGTTAGAAAGATATGTGAATATTACTTTAGAGTTCGAATGTTCAGATATTCCCAGGACTATACCACTAAAGTTCTAAGAAAGTCGTCAATTGGTAAACAACATAAACAAAATAAACAACAAACAAATAAATTAATATTGTTCAAGGGTTTATGAATATTTCATTTTATTGTATAAAACTTTTTTATTAAAATGATAAAATATATTATACGATGTTTTAGTTTGATGTTCTAAATGCAAATATGTTTTTTAATATATATTTTTGTGGCTATAAAAATAGCCGTTTGTTTTAGTTTATTATAACAAACTTAACATGCTAACGTTAGCATGCCCGATCTTTGACCAACAAATATGTATGTATTGACTGTATGCTCACTAAATTTATCGTCTGTGATTCTAATCATCTTTAATTCCAAGAATAAGGACGTTAAAATTGCCAATATCTTTCTATATGAATGTGATCGCTAAAAGCTTTTTGCCCGATATAATAATGGCTTCCAACGCATTAAATTGGCTTCAGTAAAAACGGCAAAGTTAGATATCTAGTTGTTTATTTACATCATTGCTATAAACATGAATTTTATACATCAGTTGCTTGTGATAAAGGGTTTGATATTAACAACAGGATAATATATGCAATGAGAGTCTTAGGCCATGGTCATTCTGGCATTCAAAAGTTTACTCAGCTCATGAATATGCCAAAACCCATGACAACCAAAAACTATTCAAAAATTACAACTAAAATAAAAAACATCGTGAAAAGTGTTGCAAACGAAACAATGTCAGATGCTGCAACTGAAATGAAAGAAAATGCAACTAGTGAGGACATTGTTGATGTTGGTGTATCATGTGATGGATCATGGCAGAAAAGAGGATATCAGTCAATGAATGGAGTTTTTACCGCAGTTTTAATAGATAGAGGAAAAATAATTGATGTTGAACCTATGAATAAATCATGTAAAGCTTGCTGTATGAAAGAACAATTAAAAAAATCAAATCCTGATGCATATGCTAATTGGAAAAACAAACATATTTGCCTGTACAATTATCAAGGTACAGCTGGTGGTATGGAATCAGTTGGCGCAGTGAGAGTTTTTAAACGCTCCATCGAAAAACATAAGTTAAGATATACTCAATTTCTTGGTGATGGGGATAGTAAATTCCATCTTTCTATCAAAGATATATACCCAAATATGGAGGTAAAAAAGTTGGAGTGTGTAGGACATTACCAAAAACGAGTTGGTACTCGCTTACGCAAGTTTAAAAAAAATGTTAAGGATCTAGGTGGTCGTGGTCGACTAACCAATGCAGTTATTGATCGCTTGCAAAATTTTTTTGGTGTAGCTATCCGGAGCAATACAAATGATCTGAATAAAATGAAACAAGCAGTATTAGCTAGCCTTTTCCATGTAGCTTCTTCTAAGGAAAATAACTATCATATTTACTGCCCGACTGGAGGTGATAGTTGGTGTAAGTTTAACATTGATAAAGCAAAGTCTACTTCCATATACAAACCTGGACCAGGAATTCCTGTGGATATTATTCACAAAATCAAGCCAATATATGCTGATTTAAGTAAAGATTCTGAATTAGTAAAGTGTCTTCATGGCAAAACCCAGAATTGCAACGAGAGTTTTAATAATTTAATATGGGATAGATTACCAAAAAGTAATTATGTTGGTTTAGCCAGTTTAGAGTTTGGAGTGTACGATGCTGTTGCAAATTATAACATCGGTATGAAGTCTGTCATTTTAATTTATGAAAAACTAAATATGAAACCAGGGCATTTTACTTTACCTGGTTGCAGACTCATAAACAAAAAAAGAATAAAACTATCATTATTTAAATCGAGTGAAAGTTTTAAGATGAAACGAAAGATGTTACGACGTCAACGATTATCAAATGATCATCAAAAGTCAATAGAAAAGTCCAAGGAATATTATGAATCTGGTAGTTTTTGAAATATTCTTTTAAAAAGCTATTTTTTTAAAGATATTTTTATGAAATGAACAATAATTTATGATTTTATTTTTTGTTTTGTGTTTTCTGAGAATTTAATTTTTAAACACGCCGGGAAAAAAATCTTGAAAAGTATACATGCTATCATGATGAAATTTTCAGGGATCGTTCATTTTACCAATGTTTATGATATGAGCGGAGTAGAATTTCTCATATGACTTAAGATTTTGAGTTTTTTAGTTTTTTTCTTTGTATTTTGACCTTTTTTTTAATAATCTAATTTGACTGTAGCTTTTTATCAAAAAAAAATTTTTATTTAAAAATCTGCTTCGCTCATATCACAAATTTACATATTTAGAACAGTTCTACAAAATTTCATTGACACTCCTTTACTCATTATTCTTATTTTTTTTACGGCGTAAACACAGTTTTTGTGGGTTTTTTAGCTATTTTTTTGAGTTGCCATAGCAACGAGCTACCATTTTATGTATTTTTTGGTATTTTTAATGTCGGTATAATATTTACTATATGACTAAAGAAAAAGTTACTTTATATGTGTTGTTTTGAAATTTGAGGGTAGTTGCCCCTTAATTTGTTTAATTGATTTTTGACACGCTATGTTTATAAAAACTATTTGTAATTATGCTTTAAACGGACGTTTTTGGGTTGTTAAAGCAAGTTATATCTATAGCGAGATCAATTTTTAACAGTTTAATAGGTGGTATCAGCATGATAAAAAACAGGATAATTGTAAAATAAATCAGTTCGTTAGCCGAGCACCAAGTATGTCCATTTTTCGTACTTCCGAGATAATCAAGTTTTAAAATTTAAGTTGCTAAGGCTAACTGCCAGAATGTTCGACTAATTTTTTAAATATTTTAAAGTTGTATCATTCTTGAAACAAGATTTATTAGGTACATACTCAATTGATTGTTGAATATTTGTTGGTCATAATCAGAAAAAGCACAAAATGTGGACATAGGGCCTCTTGATTCTCGGCTGACGAGTTCTTGATCATCATTACCGGACTAAGTGAAAAAAATTATTTTATACTCTATGTATTCAAGACATGTATGTATAGGCTTTTCATGACTTCTTCAAAAATAGATTACCCTTCTAGTTTCGATAAGAACCACTTAACAGGTATTACACCTCAAACTTTCTACTAGCGTTTATCCTTTTTATATATATAAATATTTTTATGAGCAATTCTATTAAAAATACAGAAATATTCAAATGCCATTACTTGCATCGTTGTTTTAACTTGCGCGGATGTAGCGATTTGGGGGCCTGAAATTTAAATGAAATAGAATTAGTTTACTTTTCCATCAAATATCAAAGGTAAAACACAGAATTAAAGATTAACTTGTATTCATTATATTTCTATAATACATCTTTTCTATATAATAAAATCATGCTATATAATAAAATATTAAACTTTATATTATAAAATTAACGACAAAAAAATCACAATAAGCTATTGCATAAATGTGTCGCTCTTTAAAGTAATTTTTTTTGTTTAAAAAAAAATAAAATTGCTTTCTCATATGTAACACATTGCAAAACCATTTTACTGTCATTTTTCATTAAGAATAGTAAATATACTTGGATATATTTCAGCTAAGACGCCCTAACGGCTTATACCACAAAAAGGCTATACATATTAAGTATGCCGATATCAAATAAGGTATAAGCAGTTTAATGTCAATATATAATAAAGCACAATGACACAAACATAACAATTAGGGCAGTTTATACCTGTATAAGAATAGCCGTATATATGTGCTATAATTAAAAAATACATGCTATTTAAAGTATAAACGTCTACGTCTATAATAAAGACATAAACACTATAAATCCATAGGTATCACTATAAGTAAAATGAAAATTAAATAAAATGGATTATTGCAATAATACTTTGTATGCTACCTAATAATTTTTTATCATAATCAACAAGAGACAACTTAAGCAATATCTACAATTGTGATGAAGTTCTAAATTATTAGCAGGTTCTATAAATGCTTTCCAATTATATCAATGACAATTATATAAAGCAAAGCGTGAAATGCCTACGGCCATAAATTTAGACATTTAGTACATAATAACAACTAACTGTTAAATAAGCAGGAAAACCAAATTTTTATAGTCTTTTTTAAAGTCGCGACATTATAAAGAAGAGAAAGCATTTCTTACTACGCCATTGAACTACGTTATATATATATATATATATATATATATATATATATATATATGTATATATATATATATATATATATATATATATATATATATATATATATATATATATATATATATATATATATATATATATATATATATATATAGACACACACACACACACACATTATAACTATATGTTAATAAAATACATATCTCAAGTTTACGAAAAGAAATCGTGCTTGATATCTTCATTTTCTTTTTAATAACATGCCTTTTAATTCTTTTCCAAGAATACCAATCATTAAGCTAACATGGAGGCCACCACTATTTTGAAATGATACTTAATTTATAAAAAATTTTAAATTATGAATCAAAATTTAATTTCAAAATTTTTTTTAAAAGTTTCACAAAAATTTTTATAATAACAAATCAATTATCTGAAAAAAGAGAAGCAGTAGTTAAATATAGTTTACCTATTATAAAATTTTGGCATGAATTTTCTGTACAATGCCATCAGTGGTATTACTTTATGGCAAATCATTTAAGAATTGTATTTTCTAGGCATTTTGCAAAGCAAGGTTGTTGTGTGGAGTACGTGCATTATAATAAAATAAAATTTATATAAAGTAACATAATACTACATGTAATGTTTATGGTCCCAACATAAAAGTTTTACATTAAATCAAGTATACTCTGCATAAATTAAATATTATCAACCTAAACTAAAATCATTTTTTTAAATATTGTATATTTGGATGTTACGCAAGTAATTATGACTGTTCGACATTAACAGTCCGTTATATTAAAAATTATATACCTGTGCTGTATAACAGTATTGTTTTATTATTATTTATTTGACTGGTTGTGGCAATCATTACAGTTCCAAATTTCATCTTCCTTCTCATAGGCACTTAGTGGAATTTTTTCGCATTCACGATGAAACCATCTACTACAAGCACAGCATTGTGCCATTTGCCTTTGAAAAAATAAATACATTATACATTATAAAAATTTGTTACTACATTATACTATATTGTTACTACATTTTAAAAATTTGTTAAATTTAACATACCAAATAAGGTATTGCAGTTATAAATATTTTGTTGTTAACTCATTAACATGTGCCAACATACCTGTTATATATGTCTTCGTCTTCAGGCACCCAAAACATACGACAAGAGCAATGCAAAGGAACACGAAAAGTCTTAGCAGCACATCTTCTAAAGGAAAAAGGATTTTTAGTTGCTGGGAATATCTCTATCTGGTTATTTGATATACATTTTAGGAGATGACTTCTAATTTCACTTTCCTCAAACATTAGATTTGTTGTGGGTAAACTTTTTGTTTCAAGAATCTGACGAGCCCAGGCAATAGCATAAATACCACAATCCACACCATTTGTTTGCTGTTGAACTGGCAAAACTTTAAAAACAAGATTTTTTTCTTGACAATGCAAAATATTGCAAATTTGCCTTTTTGTCTCTAAGCTGATTGTACCGTGGAAAAGGCTGTCAAAAACATATATCTCCCCTGGACACTGGATATGTGGTTACACATAACCAGTGTACAGTCATATGTGGTTACACCTGGACAGTCATATGTGGTTACACATAACAGTGTACAGTACAGTCATATGTGGTTACACATAACCAGTGAAGATTTCCATCATGAAGAATTTGGACAAATGGAGTACTTGTATAGATATCAAAAGATAAAATTTGTCCTTTAATGGGATCTTGCAGTCCAACATCAATATTTAACTGGATTGCCATAAGTTGCTGACAAAAGTGAATTACGTTATCATTAAGCATATGTCCTTTTATGATATCATTTTGTTCTTTATGACCAATCAAAGATGATTTAAGACTTTGAATTTGCAGCACTATTCTATCTTGTTTAACATCTTCATTTACAGTCATATCAACAGAGTTGTTACTATCATCAGTTAAATGTTCCATGATATCAATTGATTTATTAGGAACCATAAAAATTTCATAGTTTTCATCAATTAAGTGACTTGTGACAATTTCAGAACTATAACTTTCCTTTTCAGCCATCACACTAATATCAGCAGCTGCTTTATATTTGTCATATTTAACACCAACACGCTTAGTCATTTTTCTTTTACGTCGCACAGGGAGAAGACTAAGTTTTGGTGAATTTGTGTGTGACTTATTCCAAGTACCAGGTTGAATCTCTGGACGCAGCAGAATTCCTTGTTCTACTGGAAGACTTTCTGCTAAACGTGTTTTAAGTTGACAAAGCCCTTCAAACAAATTATCAATAGCTTGTTGAGAGTCACATAAGTAACTCATTTGTTTAATTTCATTTAAGAGCTCACGACAGCTTGCAGAGGTATGATTACTGTAGTTTTTAGCAATCAAACCTTGATTACTATTTACATGCACATAATTAAAATTTTGAACTTCCTTGTCACTCTGTTTAAAAAGAGAGGATATGTGTAGCGGTTCAACATGTTCATATTGAATATTATATAATGAAACCTTATTGGAATGAGCTAAACTATTTTCATCTGAAAACAAATCCAGCTTGAAATAAGGAGAACTTGCATATGCAGTGCCAAATGCAGACCAAGAGAGATTCTCTTTTAGAAAAATGGCAAGAAAGTGTTTACATGGATATGAGGGACGAAACCAACTAGGACAAGAACAAGCTGGCAGACATTCAGAATCACCAAGGTAGCATTGGTAAATCTCTCTACTATTTGAATTAAAAGAAGCTACATTGTATAATTTGTCTGTCAAAGCAGTTATGCCCCGCAAATCCACACCTTGAAATTTATCAATCAATGCCATACAATGTTTAACTAAAGATGGTGGATGATCAATCAAATATGCTGGAACTTTATCATCATATTTTCTATATGAGGAATGTGCTCTTCTATTTTCATCACAATAACTAAAACAAGATAAATAAAATTAATAAAAAGGTCAAATTTAATCAATCGCAAAAAAATAAAACGATTATATTTAAAATTAGAGTTTTGGTATATACAAATCCAGTAATCATATTATTTAAAGATCACCCAGTATAATTTCTAATTTTAGGTTAACTCAAATAAAGCAGGTTAATATTCAAAAAGTGTTACAGATTAAGTCAAATAATAAGTATAGATAAATAATATTAATAAGTATTGAATGCATAGCCAAGTGCTTTTCAAATATTCTACAAGTTTTGGGTTGTTTTGCCACTCTTTTGATTCCTCCAATGCCTCAACAGCTTTTTGGCAAGTCTCAATTGTTTTTGCTTGTGCAATTTCACGAAGCTTATCTTTAACTACATCTTTCACCATGCAACATCCATTAGCAGTTTTAGACAGCCATCGTTCCCAAGTTTGTTCTCGATGAAAATCACAAATAAACACTGTAGAACCTAAGTCAAATAAAAACATTTAAATTGCATAGAAAAGAATGACTTGATATAAAAAAAAATTAAAATCAATTTAAAATCAAGTATGACTTAAAATGAAAATAATGACAGTAAATAGTAAAATTAAAAAATATAGAGAAAAAAAATTTATTGTAATTAAAATAAGTAAACTCATTGACAACCACGAAATAACAAAATACATTATTAACCTAAAAACACAGATTCAAGTGAATTTATTTCTTCATTAGAATAATCAATAATAAAAAACTTTGGTTGAAATAAAAGATTCCATTCTTTGATGCACATAAGTGCTTCTTTAATAGATTCAGTGGTTTCATGTTCACACACAAATATAGCAACAATTTGGTAATTAATGTTAGTTTTAACGACGAGGAAAAAAAGAGGTAGTGCATATCTGGTTGTTCGGTATGTAGCATCAAGAAAAGCAAGCTCATTCCCATATCTTAATAGTAATCTTCTTTGCCATATATCTTGATATACAAACAACAACAAATTTTTAAGATCATTATCTTCTGAATTACCTCCCTTTGGTCTAAATTTTATGATTGCATCTTGAAAATTAAATTTCCTATCATTTATTTTTTCCCAAAGACATTCTTGATCTATCATGGACTTGTGATTTGCAATGGTCTTATCACTTGGAAAAAATCATTTGTTTGTCTTCTGCAGCATGTTATTAGAATTAAATTCCATCTGAAGAAAGGTCTTTAGATGACGTCTCATTTCAGTAACAGAACTGACACCCGTTCTGACCAACTCACCAATTTTTAAAATAAGTTCTTCATATAAAGAATAATTAAGACCTGCGGCCTAATAGTTAGATAAAGAGTGGAAAATAATTATAATAAATAGAAACATGAAGACCAATAGTAAATGTAACTGCGCTACTTACATCACCAATTAAATGGTTATATGAGCAGATATTGCAGGAATTACCAACATATATTTTCTGCACATTAAAACTGTTTGTTTTAAAGTCGAAGCTGAACGTAATTTTTTTGAAACTTCTTTCCTGATCCTAGTAGAACTAGTAGAATCTCGATCCAGCTATATATATATATATGGGTAATTCCATGTAAAAGTGGGACAAAAAATTTAAATTTTTCAGTCACCCCTTTAGATGTCTTTCAAACTTCAACCAGTGGAACCTATCAATGAAACATGAAAAAATTTAAAGTTTGAGCTTCCAAATCCAAACGGTTCAAAAGTTATGACATTTTGAAATTCAGCCTCAAACAGCTTTTTTTTCCCCGAATCTGCCATTATGGATTTTGTTGATGTACTTTTTAATGAATAATTTATGTTCTAGTGGAAGACTATGGCTAAAAACTGGTACCTGACCATTTTTGAGGGTGTTGAATTCAAAAATATAGAGAAACCGACCCAATTTTTAGTTTTTAATGGTCATTTTTTGATTTTAAAATGGTCGGTTGAGTTTTCTGTTTCATCACTGTGGGTTGCGCTTTCACCATCTGTGGGAGTTGCCCAAGTCTCATGGATTTGAGTTTTTGTTCAAATGAAAGTAGAGATCTTGAGCTATTTCAATAAAAAATATGGTTTTGGTCTCTTGAAGCATAATAAAGATATGTCATTTTGAAGTTTAGATAAAAAAATTCCTCATTTGGTCTAAATTCTCTATTATAGATTTTTTAACAATACTTTAAGTGTGAGTATTTGAAATGAAGAAATATGAGTAAAAATTAGTACCTGACCATTTTTGAAGGTGCTGAATTCAAATATGAAAAGAAAATAACCAAAATCAAAATATTTGATAATCTTTTTTTATTTTAAAATGGTAAGTCAAGTATTTTGTTTCCTTGCCATAAACAGGTTAATGCTTTCACTAAACCTTGAATTGCCTGAATCTCATTGATTTAGTTGTGGTTTAGAAAAATAGTTTTTTGAGGTTGGTTAATATGATGTAGAAATATAGTTTTGCTATTTATACATCAGTTATGATGTATAAATATAGTTTTTTGGTGCCAGTTATGATGTATAAATATTGTTTTGAAATGCCAGTTATAATGCATAAAATTGTTTTAATTTTAGATTAATTAATTATTGATTCTTATTTGGTTTCTCAGTCATGATAAATAATCAACAGTGCTCTATTGGAATAAATCTAGAAAGTGAATGTCATCTCACAACATATACACCGTTGCTTGGAATCGAATATTTTGAAGATATTCCTGATTATGAAAGAGAAATATTAATGTGGAGGACTGGGCTATCAATAATCATTGTTAAATCAACAACTTGCCTCCATCATAAACATGTTTATTTGAAGCGTTATGCAACTAAACTAACACGTTGCTGCAACCCATTTAATATCCATAACAAAGTTAAAAAAGGTATTTTTAGTAGCGACACCTTTTCATTTCTCAAATTTACAATGTGAAAGTGTTGAGAATTACAATAATGAAATAATGAAAAGGTACACATTCTGTTTGTGTGTGTACAATACATCAAAATGTTAAATTGATGTTAAGTGCTGTAGGCCTAGAAATGTCTTACCATGAAATCATTGAAATGATTGTATGCAGCAGAAAATCAAAAGTTTGCATGATTCACCGATGCAATAGTTGTCCTGGCATACAAGCTGCCCAAAATTTTTTACAACAGTATCTTACACAAAATGATGACCCAGAAGAGCAATATGACAGTGATGAAAATGAACAGTCCGTGGATTTCAAACAGTGGGCAACAACAGATAGAACTGAACTATTAACAATAAACCTACCATTAAATGAATTTATAGATCTGCTGTGTGAAAAGCTTGATAAAATTACTTGTCATTCATTTATTGCAAAATCACAATCTAGCTATCTCAAGCATCTCAAGGAAACACTTAATATTGATGAGGCAATTGTCCTGGTAGATTTTGCAGAGAATTACACTTTTGTAGTACAAGACGAGGTACAGAGTTACCATTGGAGCAAGAGTCAGTGTTCTCTACATCCAGTTGTCATCTATTACAAGAAAATGAAGTTGGAAACATCATCTTTTTGCATAATTTCAGATGATTTGAATCATGATGTTGGATTTATTAATGAAGTTATGCATAAAACCATAAATCATATAAAAGCTAATATTTGTCCCACAATTACAAAAATTCATTATTTTTCTGATGGTTGTGTAGGGCAGTATAAGAACTGCAAACATTTTTACAATTTATGTCACCACTCTAAAGATTTTTCTCTTAGTTGCATCTGGAATTTCTTTGCAACAAGCCATGGTAAATCTCCATGCGATGGAATAGGTGGCACTGTAAAAAGGCTTGTTGCCACTGCTAGCTTGCAGAGTCCAAACACAGGTCAAATACTGCCCGCTCAAGCAATGTTTGAATACTGTCAAAAGTCAATCAGTGGAATTATGTTTATGTACATCACTGCTGAAGAAATGGAGTTTGTACGAAACAAACTTACTGATAGACTTTTAACAGCAACCACTGTTCCTGGGACAAGAAGTTTTCATCAATTTGTACCTTCTTCTCTTTCAAATATAAAGATGAAAAGGGTGTCTGATGATGCTGATTTTGCTCTAACATTTGACTTTCTTAATAAACAAAAATTTGAAACTATTAAGATTGATTATGTTATGATATCACAATACCTGTTTTGCAAATATGACGAATTTTACTGGCTTGGTATGGTTTCTGAAATTGATAAAGAGAATGATGATTTTTTAGTAAAGTTCATGCATCCACATTATCCAAGTCGGTCGTACTACTGGCCAAACCGGGATGATAATTGCTGGGTGCCAAGAATGAACATCATTTCTTTTGTTAAAACACCATCAACATCTTCTGGGCGTCAGTACCACATCTCAAAAGAAGATGAAACTCTATTTAAACAGCTTTTATGTTGTCAATGAAAGTTTATTAGTATTTCACTTTTATTTTTTATTTTTTTTTTTTAATTTACACTTTTTGCCAATAAGAAAAATAAAAAATTAACAGCCGTAACTCATAAAAAAATAATTACATGACCGGAGCTAGAAGAAGACAAATTTAGCCTTATCACTATGCCCCAAATTCATTAGTTAAACAAATTATTTGTAAAATTATAAAAACTTCAATTTTTGTAACATTTGCTTATTTCTTTTCATTGTTCTTGTTGAGTTCCTTTTTCCCAACAAAGGAGATATTTTACTCCTTTACAAAAACATTTTTTTTTGTAAAGGAGTATGAAGCACATTTGAAAATGCAGCATAAAATTTTCAAAATTATTTTAAATCAATACTTAATTATTAGACATGCTGGTTAAATTACTATAAATGATAAATAAAGAAATTATATTTTCAATGTACTGTAATGCAAATTATATTATCATAAATACTTTAAAAGATATTGAATATACATATGCAAGTTATAAAAAAATTTTTTTTTTTCTTTCAGAAACCAAAAATCAGCTCCAAAAATGAGTAAAACATAACCCATGCTAATGAAATAAATAATTTGACTGGCAACATTTTAAAATTATTATTAAACAATTAGAATTGGGTTATTTTCTCTTTATCTTTAGATTCAGCACCTTCAAAAATGGTCAGTTATCAAATTTCAGTCATATTCCTCCACTATAACTTAAATTACTCACACAAAAAGTCCAAAAAAGGAATTTTTTTTGCCTAAATTTCAAAATGACATAGTTTTATTATGCTTCAAGAGACCAAAACCATCTTTTTTATTAAGATAGCCTAAGATGTCCTCTTTCATTTGAAAAAAAAATTGAATCCATGAGACTTGGGCAACTCCAGGAGATAGTAAAAGCGCAACCCATGGTAATAGGACAAAAAAATTGACTGGCCATTTTAAAATCAAAAAATAAACATCAAAAATTTTAAATTTCACAATTATCTCCACATTTTTGAATTCAGTAATCTCAAAAATGGCTGGGTATCAATTTTTAGTCACACTCTTTTACTAGAACTTAAATTATTTATTAAAAAGCACAACAACAAAAACCATAATGGCGGACTTGGTT